AAAGTGTCGGATTTTGGAGGTGCTTGGCATCGAGAAAGTGTCGGATTTTCAATCCATTCAGGGCACATGTGTGAGAAGTGTCGGATTTGCATCCCCTATGGCCTCCAGAAAGTGTCGGATTTCTTGGCTTCCTACCTACGAAAAGCGTGGCTTCAAGACGGTGTAGGCCCCATGACACCCAAAAACTGATTGATTTTCTTGGTTGCGCTGCCGCTTGTCACAAAGCCATGACAGAGGTAAACTAGAGCTTTAATTACCGTTTTTCTGTGTCACTGTCCATATTAGAGACATCTATTAATGTCTATCGTGATGTGGCTGGAACATGCACAGATTTATGATATATTTTATTTTCGAGAACATATTTGGAATGTTTCAATTGAAACTTAAACTCAAGGCAGAATTGCCTTAACTTTCCTGGGGGTTTATGTCCTTAGGGTTTAGGAAGCCAACCCCACATCAGCACTCCCCAAAAGTGTCTGATACAAGGTTGGATCAGACACTTTTCGGGCTGTGAAGGTCTATGTCTCTCACGAAAAAATTCCCCCGTAAATGTCCATGCCGCGCCCAAATTTTTGAGCGTTTAGGGTTTTGGGTTGCACGTTTAGGGTTTAGGGTTGTGTTTCAAGGTTGATGGCACTGATGGCATCCGCAATTAGCTCACCTACCAAGTGGCCAAACAAGGGCAAGGACCCAGTTCACTGATCGAAGACAGCGTTCGCTTAGCGACGACGCCTTCTCGGCGCTGGCTTGGCCTTTGCTTCAACTCTGTCGACCACTCGTTGAGACATTGCGATAGCTTCTGCCCAAGGAACTCCTCTGCTCCAAGCGGCTGCCGCAGATTCCAAAACTATCTTGGCTCGGGCGCGATCCACATACCGGGCAGTATGCTTGCGGTCATCCTTGCCAAGCGTCAGCCTTGGTCAGTCAAACTATGCACCAACCACCAAAATTAAATGTGTTTAGAAAAAATACAAACAAACTAGCTCTACCACAACTAGTCTACAAAAAAGGGCTTGGGCTCATGGCGAGCTACTGCAAAGGATTGGGCAACCGATCCAAATTCGTCACATGAGGTCCGCTTGACAAGAAAGCTCTGCTCTGACGAACGGCGCACCTCAAGACTCAATTGTCACATGAACATGAGACAACATCACTCCTGTCCGGACTGCACATAGAAATCACAGTAAAACCACAAATGACCCGGGTCAACAGCACATTTGCCTTACGCTTGCCTTCAGCACAACATTGAGCAATCAAAAACACTCAAGCAAGGCGCGCGCTTATATCCAACAGTGGCTGAAGAGGCAGAGTGCCTGAAATCCAGGCTTCCAAATAGTTTGCAGCGTCGTCCAGCTTGTACTTCCTCATGATTGGCAAATGTTTCAGCACCTCCCTCTTGAACTCTTCTGAAAGCGGGTTCCGGTCCGAAAGGCCTTGAAGCAAGAATCTGACGCTTGACACTGACTTCACAAACCCTCAAAACTTTAAGACTTGATCCTTCTCCCCAAGCTCCCCCAGTTTCTCACTTTTTGAACATTGGACACGAAGTACGTTGGAGGCTGCTCCCTGCCTGCCGGAACTCCCAATGGCAAGCGCACTTTGGCCACTGCCCATGGAAAGTACACGGCCTTGAAGTTGTAAGAGGTATCAGCCATATATTGTCTACACCTCAAACCAGGTTATAGCTGATCACACATACATGTCCTTGTGAAAACTTTCTCAAATCGTTTGGACCTGTCTGGCATGGGCAGTCCTGCAAAATAAAAAACTGTTTTGTTTTTCAATAAAATCCCAGGGACCGCAATATGACATCATCCGGGTGGGTGTCAGTCCCCCAGAAGTCGTCTTGAATGGGCCCAGCTACATTGTCGCGTCGGTCGAACTCAAATACGTGCGGTGCACCTGCACCACCAATGCCTTTGACAGCCACAGGTACACCACCGGCCAGGAAGCCCTTCCTTAATCACACACAAGAGTGAACTAACTAGAAACCCAGAAAGGGACGTGCTCGCTTGCTTGTTGCACATAATGCTTCTATTTCACGAATAACGATCAAGAAGTGGGAACGCCAAAAGCTATAAAAGGGACAAACAACGGCGATTTAAATGGTCACAAGATTTTGGAACCCCTTGTCAATTCATGTGCCTCTCTACACTTGACATGTACTCTTGCAACCAATGAGCCAATCCCGGGACTGCTCAAACAAAACAGAGTACCTGCCCGGTTCATGCGGGCGTTCGAGGTCATTGTCCATCCAGTCCTGGATGATCTTCTGGAAATCGGGGGGGCCAATGGCGCTACGAGCTTTCCTGATCAGATGGGACGCCAAGCGCCCGAATAGCTGATCTATATCCTCGTGGGAATGTCCTGACCGCAAGTGCCTGAGGCGGGCAGCATGGACAACTCCTCAGCAAGGGTTTGCACCGACAAAAGGAGGAGTGCACGCTTGTGTTGTGGGATTTAAAGATGCTCAGTCACTCCCAACAAACTTGGCGCGACCGCTCCCAAATCAAAAAAGGCCTGAGCAAATGGAAGGTGCGATGTGCAACTAACATGGATAGAAACCTCAAAACAATATTGTTTTTGACCTCACGTGGGGTGTTGTCGCTCTGTATGTTGACTGTGAGCTTCCCTAAGTCCATGGATTCTGATAGCACCTGAAGTGAGTGGGCGATCATGTCCACGTGCGCACTAGCATCCTTCAACGTATCCGAAGGTGAAGTGAAGAACATGACGAACTGCCCATGGGCTATCAACCCCGTGATGTGGGCCCTAGGGCGATTCAGGGATTGCAATTCCTTGGTCTGGAAGTAGGTTGATCTCGGGTAGCAAAACTTTGCTTGGTCCATGCCATCGATCACAATTGTGACCTCAAATGGACCTCTGAGTCTACTGGCACCCCTTAGCTCCCAGTACTTGATGCGGTCGTTGTATTGGGCCTTCAAATGGTTGGCCAAATGAACATGCTGAAGTTGGCGCGCTCTGAGGTGTTGGCTCAGCTCTTTGAGCATTAATTTGTACCTCATGCATGTGTTGCATAAGGAGTGCGAGGAGTACGGGCGGAAGCGAAGGAACCCAAGGTCCTGCCTCCACACCCGCCAGAACGTCGTGAATGACGCAGGGTGGTCTGAGCAATCGTGGGTCTGCCGGAACTGTTCGTAGTAGTCCCGCATACATCCGGGCGGTAACCATCGCTCCTCTTCCGACTCCAGTCGATTGGTGTTCAACACCAGCGAGAATTTTTCTTGTTTTTCTGTCCCTTCCTGCATCCCTCCTCAACGCTTGGCCCGTTATCCATTGCCTTCACATAGTCATCTTCAAGGAGAACTGGATCAGAAGGCTCAATGACGCGCGTTTCACCATCGAAGGTATTGTCGCGAACATCGGGCAATGTCTCTGCCGTTGACTCATAGATCCCTTTGAGAAAACTTGCCACTCGCGATCGGCTGTCTCTCGCAACTACTTGGATAAGCCCCTTGCGGAGGTATCTCAAGTCAGCAGGAGGTGTCAAAAATCCTGCCTTCACACGGGCGTGGATGTTGTTGAACCTGTGAGAACCTCACAGATCCCCAACTTCCACAGCTCAAACAAAAACGTTTGGACACTTATAGAATTATTATTACACCTAACTGCAGAGACTACAGTTGCAAATTTCCGCTCAACACAGACCCGTAAGTTTTTTGTGTGACGTGCGGCCTCAAAACGACCAAGGATCTGGTGTACAGTAGTCATTGCTTTGTTATTGAACTCACGGTGCAAAATTTTCATTTGGACTTGGGCCATGAGAAAAAAGGCCCCCTCAAGTCTTACACTGGTTGCCTAAAACCCATGCTTTGGAGGGTCCAAATCACACTTGACGGGGTCTTGGTCAAAATGCTGAATTGTCGGGTGTCTTGGCGGGTAAGTTCTAATGGAATTTGTTCGACCAAGTGCTGCTATGTATGAAAAACTCGGTCGAAATATTTGATGTGTGAAATGTCTTTTCGTGTTTGAGCTATTAATGGGCAACTTCGGGTGTCTTTTCCATTGCCAAGGCTTCTAGCCCCAACAAATAAATCATGGTCAAGAAGCCGAGCGCGTGCAGCTTCTTCCACGAAGCCACACAGACCTTCTCGCCAAAGAAATTCCACTCTGTGCGATCTCCCTCTGGAGCTCCTTGCACTACCTTCAGAATCTTCTCAAATGCCTCAATTCGCTGGGCGAGCTCAAGCACGAACACATACTATGCCTCTATAGCGTTTATAAACCAAGCCCCAAAGTTCAACCCTGTAGAAACACAGCCTGGGGACAACTTGATCTTGGTCAAGCTTGTGCAGGGATGCCCACTCCTGTCTGAAGGAGAGCAGCTCTTGAAACCGGTGGGCGGAGGGAAAAACGGCCACGCAGTTTCTTCTTGCACAAGGGCAGCGATACGTCTGCAGCATCCTTCTCAAAGAGTCCTCGCTGGACAACTCCGCGTGTCTCTCAGCAGCAACGATTTTCCTGGATCTCTTCCGCTTTCGACCGGCCAGCTGGGCCATGTGTTCACTAGAGCCACCATCACTGAGCGCTTCAACAGCCTGGAACAGTGGGCCTGGCTTTGTTTCGCCATCTTCGTCACTCAAATGATCAACCCGGGCAAACGCCATTCGTCCATCCGTGGAAATGTTGAGCTCTCGGGAAGCACGTGGACTGAATTGACAGAAGGTTGGTTTAAGACTTACTCGTTTCAGCAGGGTGGGGTGGTTCTCTTCCACTGCTCTTGAAGCTAGGGCAGCTAGGAGTGCATAACATGTTCAATCGACATATGGCACTGTTGTGGCACATCGAAAAGTCACTGCGTTTGCACGAGGCTCACACAAACAAACTTCGAGCACGAAGGAACTGCTGATGGGGATCACAAAACACAACTGACATGATGCCACCCGCCACCCGCCGCAAAATTAAACCTGTATGCACTAGAATCACTGGAAGCTGGCACACCGCCCATGGCGCCTTGCAGGAGCCAGTCAGTGGCATCCAAAGGTGTCCTGGCTTGAGTCACATAATCACAACAACTTTCATCTGGAGTTTGGGGGTTTCTTGCTTATTTAGCCTCGCAGGCCAAAATGTAGAAACAGCGCTCTGAGCATATCGCGGCCACATAATCCACCACGTGGCGCATGGTCGCACCTAAGCCCGGAACTTGCCAAATTGAGGCCCATGGCCCAAAATGAAATACATCGTTGTGGAAGACTTCTCCTCACCAGAACCAGTGCAGTTCTAAATGGACTCCAACCTACGTTTTGGGAGTAGGGGTTGGGAGCAAGACACAATGAGTGGCTCACATCCGGCGTCCAACAACATACTTGAAAACAGCAAAAAGCGCAGAATGAGTAATATATGTCCACAACATAGTCTTCTAAAACTTTCTCAGCTTCAAGCGCGTCTGGGCAGGACTGATTTGGCCGTTTCTAGAATTGACCTTTGGCTGCCCAAAATACGCCCGCCCAGAAACCTGCAATCCAGCTTAGGCCCTTCAAGTTCTGCTGGGAGCAGAGCGCTTTCCATCAAGGCCATGGCACCACTTGTCCTTGTCATGCTCGGAAATCAATCTGCAATAAAAGATCCAGGGGTGACTCGGACATCAGAGCGACGCTGAGCCCTCGGGCGCATCCAACCAAGTGGTAATCAGCCCAGCCTGGGGCGCACGGAATCAAGCTGGGCCCAACTTAAAATTATATAACTCGTGAAATGATATCCATCTTCTCAGGGCTGGGCGAGAGACTCACTCCAGGCGATCAGAACTATTTAATTTTGAATTGATAAGGTTCAGGCAACTTGGAAACACACATGCCTGATAGGTTTAAGCTTTTCAATTAGGGAACATTGAGAACTGCCCAACCCTTATTCAGCAGAAACAGGCAATTTACACTGTGGGTAGGACGCAGGCCCACGGTGCAACAAGCGTGATGGATCGACGTTCCAGCACCTCCCTGAAAGACCAAAAAACTAGCTTTGTGTGAAGGATCTTAATGGCCATGCCACTGCAACCACAAACACCTCGTTATCAATCCAACTCACGCCTGACATGTGACAAGACTGACAACGCTTTGGCTGCTTGCAACGGGACAACCAAATTGCCCATTGTCTTGAGGCGTTGACGGTCCTGTTCCGATTGGAACTCGGTCAACCACTCTTCGACTGGCAAAGAACTATCCGCGTTCCAGGGCGCATCCAAGTTGGGTTCCACGTCGAAGGCGTCCTGCCACACACAAATGAAGTTGGGAATCCGGCAAAACGTGGAATAACGTCTAACAGTCAGTCCGGAAACACGAAGTCTGGGCGAGATGCTAAGAGAAAAACGCGCTTTCTTCCAGCCTTATATATATTCTAGGAGCAAAGAAAACATGTGCGGAAACTAGGTCATCTCTTCACACTTGCTGAGAGCGCGTCTGCCAGGCCAACGTTTGCGAGCTGAACACTGCACCACGTGAGAGTGAGGCTTCGCTTGCGGCACTCCCACCAAACAATGCCCATCAACAAAACGCATCAGCTGGTTGACAAAGCGGCTGCAAGGTTTAAGAAAGGATGCTGTCACACATGGCCTTCACTATGAAGAGGAAAAGCTCCCTACATGGTTCTTTCTTGCTCAGTAACGCCCCAACGTTTTCGAGCAGGAGCGCTTGCCTGGGTAGTATATGCAGTGAATCAAACGGGCCCTTCAAACACTTGAACGTGTAAAAAGAACTTGTCTGGGGTTACCACCCCTCTGGAAGCATATCAAAAGTCTTGAAGGGCTCACTGATCAACATAGACCTTGCGTCTTTAAGGCCTCGCTGTTTTCCTGCCGATGATACTCCCTGCAGGCAAGGGCCCGGCAAGCACATAGAAGCAGCACACGTGACATTGAATTTTGACCAGCAATGACACGACAAGCCTGGCATGGAAAGCCAGCTGAGACTACCTTTGCCCGGAGGGCAGCCCCAGCCGGTTTGAAGTTCTTGACATCGCGGCTGATGTCGCACGCAGGTAAACATCCATCAGCCATTCTGGCCCTCAACACCTTGACACAGAATTCATCAGATTCCACCTGGCAGGGCAGAAATTAAAAACTCACCAATTGTAGATTGGGCTTCTCAACCCCTAAATGGTTCAAGGGCCAGACCATGTGCACTGGCCGCAGCCACCTGGCTTGCACGCGTCACGCCGTCATGCAACCAATGTTCTGACAACCACTGATCATGATGGACCACAGAATTGAATGAAACAACAAACACAGTCCAACGAATAAAAAGGTGGTTCTTTCCTCCAACAGCTCAACGTGGCCGCTTCTGTGGCGGCTTGTCCAGTGGATCGGGCAATTGTGGATCATTCCCCACCAAGCTTCTCGCCTGACACGTGACAACTGCAGCACCCCCAAAACCTGTGGTCAAACCCTTGGGCCTGCTGAGGACGAGATTCGAGATTTCTCTCCGGTAGGGTTTGAAGGTCTTGTTCAGAACATTGGACCCACTGGTTTCTTTTCCACATCCACCTTAAAGTGCAAAACATAAACGTCAGAAACGGCTGGAAGAATTTGTGCTGAGCAATCCACGTTTCATCTCTCCACTTGCACCAAACGGGGCTTCCTTTCGGCACCCTGTGAACATAAGGGCGAATCCAATCTGAAATGAAAGAATTGTACTGTGCAGTTATGATTTCGGCCTTATTTGGTTGATGCCAACAGTACGAATCGTTTGCCAGCCATCATCCATCTCTTGGCACTGATCAGGACAGGCGCCAACATGAAAGTGGTCGCTCGACCACACATTTCAATCAACTGCGAGCCAAGTAGGCGTGCGTGTGGGCGAAGCATTATCAATGTCTAAACTGAATATCAAACACGGCGTATCAAACAATTGAACAGCATATCAAACACGGCAGTTGGGCATGCGCATGCCCAGTTCCAAGCCACCCACTCCGGTGAACAACGACAGGCAGGGGACCATGCCTGTCTCCTGAGCAGAACAAAGCAAAAACACTCATTTGCACACTTTCTGCAATCTCTAAGCTGAAAGCTCTGGAAACTCTCCAGGCGTGCCTGGAAGCTCTCCCTGACCAAATCACGAGGAACTCGGGCGAAAGGGTCAGTCCAGCCAGACGGCAGTCCTGGCACCCAGCGCCATCAGCATCTTTTTTGAATATGGCAAATGACAAATAAGCATAAGCCACAAACAGGGCTGGCTGACCGCTGAACCATTCGGCCGCCTCTGGTCGCAGAAAATGTCCAGGATCTGTCCCTAGCTCCTTCATCTTCTCAGTGTACACTGTCCAGTGCTTGATTTGGTTGGCTATGTCCTGAGCGGGCGCTGACAAAGTCCCAACACATAGAGCATGCAGCGCACGAGGCCGGCGCACAAATTCCCCTTTTTGAAACCTCACCCTTCGTGCACCGCGTGGTGGCACTGAAAACGCCTGGCCCAAGAAAACGCATCTAAATAGAGGTCGATGAACAAACTATGCATGCATCTCAGGCATGGGCGCAGGCAACTCCATCTCTTGAAGGTGCGTGACCCCACAAAGAGTTGAGCACCGTTAGCTTTCTTTCCTCCGCGCCGATTACGGCTCACCTCACATCACATTTTTGGCGGGCAACTCCAAACACGTTTACTTTGCTTTGTGCCCACTTCAACCACCAACGCAGTCTGGTTTGCCAACACTGAGTCTAAGATAGAAACCATCTTGAGTTCCAAAGGTTTGACTGAAGGAAGCTGCGCTGATATGATCCAGATCTTGTTGGTGTGGATATGGGCGTGCTTTGGCAAAGGGCCCTGCCACATTCATTGATAGTTGCATAACTGTCTCTAACTTCTAAAGAGTCTAACTGTTTCCAACCAAACGCCAAACAGCCTCACCTCTGTGTATTTTTTAGCGCAGAAGCGTGTTGGCTTTTTGACCTTGATGAAGTTCTTGATCACCTGCCAGAAAAATAGAAGCAGTGGGCGCAGCTTCAATGCCGACAGTGTTTACAAACGAAAACCTTCAGTTTCTTCTCTCCACATGAAGGCTTCATCTCCTCTGCGTCAGAGTCCGACCTTCGCTTAGTTGCTGGCAAACGGTTCAACGCACTAGCAATCTCCAAGGTCTTGGCAAAGTGTCGACAGCTGCAAAAGGCATGCTCCCCAAGTGAACCACACTAGCGGAGTGGTCGCTGAGCCGTGAAACCCTTCAGTTACAAAAGGTTGAACTGTAAGAGAATCAAAGGAAACTGGCAGCAAAAGGTTCACACAAGAATACAAACGTTAAAACGTTCGACTTTAAGAAACTCAAAGCAAAGAATCTTGAAGCAAAGTTGCGCGCACAAAAATGTCGAGTGTGAACGTTTTACAGTCCCCTCCTCACCTGGCAGGCGGCGTCTGTACATTCACAACTTTTGATGCAAAAAATCTTGCATGTCAGTCAGGCTCCTGGCCAGGTCATTCTGCAGAGTGCGGGTTGCTGTCAAGACTTCCGTGATGTCGTCCGATGTGGCGATGTTGGAGCCGTCGCCCGTGGCGATCATGTTGTTGTGATTGTGGAGGTGGACATGGACATGGACTCCACGAAACCACACTGTGGCCAGAGTGGCCAGGATTGCCACCAAAGTCAGGGCCAACACAACCAGAAACAGCAGTACGCCAACGCTCTCCGCGGCTGACGCTTCCATAGGAAGTGGGTAGTTTAGTAGCTGCATGGCAACACTGTGGTGAAAAAAAATACTGCTGCCTGCTCGCTGTGAAAACCTGAATGTTAACAGCGCCATTATGGTTAATTAGTCCTGTTCGTACTGACGCTGTGACATTGTGATGATGTGCAGCCGAAAACAAGCACCGTTGCGGCCGACACACTGCCGATCACTAGATTCAAGTATTATTTATTGTGTGGGAACACAATGTGCTACACAAAGCCTGCACAACGAATGACATGTATGAAGGCAAAAAACAAAGCAACATACACACTCAAATGGCAACAAAGGCTTCTGCAACAAAACAGCTGGGTTGTGTGTGTGTGTGTGTGTAAAAGTTCTTTATCTATTACTCTAAAATTAGGAATATGCATTAGTCCTGCACTGCGCGCACGCCAATTTTCCAAATGTGACGTGGCTTGCCCTCATCAACTTGCACACGGACAGCACAGTCAATTGTCAATAGAATAGTGGTGCGCCCTTTGGAAGTCAGTCTGTCACATGGGAGCAGCCATGCAGTATGTATGGCGCAAACTCCATGACAGAGCTTGACTGTGGCCACAACTTAGTAGGCACCCACACCCCCACAACCCAAATGCATCCCACAACCCGTTTGCAAAGAAAATTCCTTAGAAGCAGTAGCGCCCCCTCGCTCCTCTGTGTCAGGGAGTTGCGCGGCTTGCGAGAGTACCGCAAGCAGCTTTTCGTGGGTGGGATCAGCAGGTGTAACCTGCATGGGAGGATGAGCAGGCTTCTTGGGTTGTATGCGACCAGCTGTTTTCCGCTTGGGCGAAGCCTCCTCCTTTACAGGGGGACTACTGCGCTCCTTTGCCAGCAGACCTGCTTTGACTGGGGCTATAGTAGCCGGATCAAGCACGTGCCCTCCCTGTGGAAATAGGGGGTGCTGTTCTGCAAGTGTGAGGAGAAGAGCATCGAAAAACTCCGCCAGTGGTAGCCTTATGCGCAAGACAACCTCAACTTGAGGGCGACCATCTGGGCCCTGAGTGAGGGAGCACTGATGAGGGCCAACAATGAAAGGGAGGGCCATGGGCAACAACAGCTACTGTTTGTTTTGACCAGGCTGGGCAGAGGCGCGCGGTCACTGTTCTACTTCGAGCCTGAACAGCAGCAGGCTCTTTTAGCCTCATGCGGTGAGCTTGAGAAACACAACTACCGGAGAAAGAACTGTTGCCCGTAGCTTGCTACGTAGGTAAAGGGGCCCGTGATGCGAGCTAGTGTGTTAGCTAGTCGGTCAGCCACAACTTAGTTACCTAGGTTGGTCTGGTTAACTCTGGAAGCCCTTCATGTGGTAGCACTCTGCGTCTCTCTCAGGGCGGTAAGTATCATGTCCATTTCGCTAGCTAGTGCCCAGCACGCATTGGCCCCTGGCTGTACATTGCAATGCTGTCGACGTGCATGTATGTTTTGAAGGGTGCGTTGGATGTCGCACGCTAGCACTCGCACTGTACTGGCACGGGTGATGAGTTCTCTACTAAGTCGCGCGTATGGCACATCTTGACCAGCACTCACATCCTGTTCCGTAAGAGCCTGCAATGCATAAACACCTAGCTGGGCAGGGGGGCGCACTGTGTCGGCCTGTGGCAAATTTGCACCTCCACATGTTCGAGTTGTCTGCTCTTGGACGGGGGTGGGGCGACTTTGCGGCAACAACCAGGGCGGAATTGGTGGTGTCGGACGAGGTGGGGCGTCAGGTACAGCTGGCAAGGCATAGAGCTGTGAGAAGGGGAAAGAGGCTACAACCTCCCCCGGTTCTGGTGGTCTGGCCTGCCCTCGCGCTACCACCCATCCATTGGGAGATATACATCCCGATTGTTGAAGAATACGATAAACAATTGCCCTTTGTAGGGCACTCCTGCCATGCAGGAGGACACCATCATTTGTGATGTGTGGTGAATCTTCGAAGGGAAAAAGGACCTGCCCACTAGGAAGTACAAGGGTGGATCTGCGCATTTCAGGTGGAACAGCAACTAATTGCATTTCCAAAATTCGAGGGCATGTACCATCCTCGATTGGAGTCCTTGGGAAGCCAGCAACAGCCAGTCGTAGCGGGAGCTGCCTTTGGGCTAGCTTGATGTTGATCTGGACAAAGTGTACTTCCACGTCAGGGTGTTTATAGATCTGGCGAGCAAAGGGAGTGAGGTCCAATCCCCCCGGCCCTACGTCCATTCGGAAGACACTTCCTACAGACTATGTGCTCCTTTCCTCGAGGATCAGGACTAAGGTCCTAACCCTCTCACTCGGGCTGCAGTGTTCTGCTGTGTAGGACAGGGATGGTAGGAGCAATCCCCTTGCCATTCGTTGGTGAAGGCTGTCTGATATATCGC